CTGCAGATTTAGTCAATTTGATTTCTATGTATCCCATCTGGTGAGGTCACATGGTAAGGGCCATGTGAGGTCTTAATGCTGACTAAAGAAGGTATTTGAAATGAACAAATCATTGGTTTTGCAGAATTCTATCATGTGTTCTTCAGCATCATTTCTATCACCAAGGCCGTATTTTCCAACTACTGATCCTTCCTCTTTGCTCACAACCTTTACATTCCAATTACCAGTAATGAGCAATACATCTTAATTGCATGTTTGATCAATATCAGATTGAAGAAGCTGGTAGAATTCTTCTATTTCAATCTCACTGGCTTTACTAGTTGGTACATAAATTTGAATAATAGTGGTATTAACTGGGCTTCCCTGTAGTCACATGAATATTATCCTATCACAGACAGAGTCATACCTCATGACTGATCTGGATGTTCTTTTTTTTTTTGGATATGTTCTTTTTGATGATGAATGCAACACCATTCCTCTTCAATTTGTCATTCCCGGCATAGTTAACCATGTGGTTGTCAGATTCAAAATGGCCAAAACGAGTCAGTCCATTTCAGCTCACTAATGCCTAAGATATTGATGTTTATGCATTTCATTTCATTTTTGACAACTTCCAATATTCCCAGATTCATACTTTGTACATTCCATGTTCCGATTTTCAGTGGAGGTTTATAGCTATTTCTCTTCATTTTGAGTTGTGACCCATCAACAAATGAAGGTCCCGTGGGCTTTTCTCCCATGGGCTTTCCTCCATTCACGTCATCACAATCAACTCTACTTTGAGGAGGCAGCTTTTCCCCAGTCGCATTTTGAGTGCCTTCCAACCAGAGGGACACATTTTCCGGGACTGTATCTGACAGTGTTTTTCTGTTATTCATAAGGTTTTCATTGACTAAATATTCGGAAGCAGTTCGTCACTCCTTCTTCTTAGTATGTCTTCATCTGGAAGCTCATCTGAAATCTGTCCACCATGGGTGATCCTGCTGGCATTTAAAATACCGGTGGCATAGATTTCAGAATCATAGCAACTCACAAGCCACCACAGCACGGCAAACTGACAGACGAGTGGTTGCTGATTGGTTTTAAGCAGAAATGTCACTTTAAATTTCAAGGAGATCTGTGCGCATGCTTAGTAGAACCCTCCAGGTGTTTGTGTAGGGTGTCCATTCGCTCAAGCATCCCCTCTAGTCACCAGAATGGAGGTGTGCAGAGAGCGAGAGACCAATGAACAGATACCAAAAAAAAAGAATGGCTACACCTATATCTCTGTGGTTCTGTCATGCATTCATGGCTGCTCTGATCCTTTCCCTGCTTGGTCTCTCCCAAGATGGTGGCTCCAGGAGCAGTTGAGCGTCTTGAATTAGAAAGCAATGGATTTCTTGATTCTGCTACAAATTCCCCTAGCTGTAAGCTTTCCCAGCTTCTAAATATTCCTTTATATATGGAATGCCTAGAATAACAATCTTTTAATGTTTCATTTTTGACAACTTCCAATTTCCCTAGATTCATTAATGGATGTGTAGAACGGTTTCTTCTCCTTTTGACTTGTGTTTCATCAGCAAACGAAGGTTCTAAAAGCTTTGCTCCATTCACATCATTATGGTCAACTCCACTTGAGGAGGCAGCTCTTCCCCAGTTGTATTTTCAGTAACTTCCAACCTGTGGGACTCATCTTCTGGCACTATGTCTGGCAGTGTTACACTACTACTTATGTTTTCATCTCTGGCACTGTATCTGACAGTGTTCTGCTGCCATTCATAAGGTTTTTAGAGACTAAACATCAGAAATGGCTCACCTCTCCTTCTTCCTGGTTTGTCTTAGTCTAGAAACTCCACTGAAACCTGTTGTTGGGGTTCCATATCAACTCGACTATGCCAGGATTTCCAGAGTTTTGGCAGTTGGGATGGGCTTGGTCCCATGGTGATGAAACCTAATGCAGGCATAGTTAAGTTTATGATGAGCAGCTATGAGTAGCCAATCAATTGAAGTGCGATGCTTCCTTGAGGTGTGACCTGCTCCCAATATAACGGACACATGAGAGGGACTCAAGCTCTCTCTTCCATTGGGGACCTGGGATGCTACAATTTTAAGATAACAAACTTTTCTTTATATATATACATGTTTCACCAGAGTCCTAGTGTGGTGCTGTGGGATAAGCACAGGACCACAAGATGGATTTGAACCACAAGGCAGCAGTTCGAATCCACCAGTCACTCCTCAGAAACCCTATACGGGGTGGCTATGAGTTAGAATTGACTCAACAGCACGTTAACAACAATATGTTTTATTTCTTTAGAAAATGTGGCCTATGACACCTGTCTACTGTGGGAGACCTTGTTGGCATTTAATATACCAGTGGCATAACTTCCAGTATCACATGAACATGCAAGCCACCACAGTACAACAAACGGACAGATGAGCGGTGGTTCTTGGACTTGTATTCAGTCATTTGGTATCAACTGTTCCTCTCAGCTTCACATCATTGGTAAAGTTGGTATCATCAATGCCCTTATCTTTGTTGATGTTGTTCTTAGGTGCCATCAAGTCAGGTCTGACTCAGAGGGACCCATGTACAACGGAATGAAACACTGTTCGGTCCTATGGCACCCTCACAATCCTTGTTATATTTGAGCCATCGAGCCAATCTATCTACTGATGTGTTGTTGTTGTTTTACACTGATTCTATTTTACCAGGCGCAATGTCCTCCTTCTCCCTCCTTATAATATGTCCAAAGTATATAAGATGAAGTCTCACTAGCCTCACTTCTAAGGAGCATTCTAGCTGTATTTCCTCCAAGATAAATACTTATCTTAGTAAATTAATGTATCAAACAGGATTGACCCAAGAACATTAGTCCATTCATTAAAGTTCACTGGGTGGAGTTCACTTAAGTATATAATAATCCAGCTCAACAGTCATAAAACAGGAAATGAAGAGAGACTTTTTCAATTGTCTGTGTTTAGTAATTTTACCAATTCCTCTGATCTTTCATCTGTTGACTACATTTAAAAGGAAGTAGGGATAACCAGGCATGAATTACTTCTAGCCAAAGTCTTAATGGCTTCCTAGTGATTTCTTTTCCCCATGACTCAGAAACCATCTTATTAACTACTGGTTTTAAATTCCTGCCAGCAATATTATCAAGTAACCAAGATAAGTGAACTTGTTACTCTGCAGTTACATGAGACAATACATTTGACTCTCTGCCCTTGTATATGTCATAAGCTCTTATATGAAACAATTTGGGTTCTGGAAGGCAGTTTGACATAATAGAAACAGTACAGATATTTTGTGTAAGAGAAATCTGGGTTCAAGTAGTTTTAAACTCCACAAACTGAGTAAAGTGGGACAAGGTACTAAGCTTCTTGAAGTCTTCATTTCTTTAGCTATAAAGTATTTATTTTGAAGACTGTTGCAAAGATTAGAAATAATACATGTAAAGATCCTAAGATGGAATCTGTCATATACTAGTTTTTGTTTAGCGCCATCGAGTCGGTTCTAGTAGCAGGAGCAAAATTCTTCCTAAAGATCACTGACACTGGCTGGATGATCTCATTGTTGTTGTTGTTAAGTGCTGGTGAGTTGGTTCCGACCCATAGCGACCCTGTATAGGGTTTCCGAGGAGCCACTGATGAGCTTGAACTGCCAGCCTTGCAGTTCAAATGGCTTCGCAATATGGCGCATTAACCCACAGCACCACACATTGGGAGAGGCTTAAGCACTCATCAAGAGCTTACTTCTCACCTCACCAGTGTTAGTTTTGTCGCTTCTGTTTTGAAAATCAATCTACTTAACTGAGAGGAGTGGGTTAACACAGAAATTGAAAAATCTCCTAGAATCTATGATGAATTCTTACTTGAAACCAGAGGTTGCCTTGAATTCACTGTCAAAGTACTTACTAGTAAAAGGGTACATAAAAAAGTACTGCCATAAAAGCATAGAAATCTTTACCAAACAAAAATGTGAAATTACTTGTCAACATATCTTCCATGAAGGTCTATACACTTCCGAAGCTGGTATTTCCGGGAGCTCTGGTGGCGTAGTGGTTATGAATCGGGCTGCTAACATCAGGGTCAGCAGTTCAAAACTGCCAGCTGTTCTGCGGGAGAAAGATGAGGCTTTCTGCTCCCGTAAAGATGTACAGCCTTGAAAAACCCATACAGGGTCACTATGTGTTGGAACCGACTCCATGGCACATAACCACCAACCACCAATCCTCTCCTGAGAGGTCCTGGTGTGGCACTGTGGGTTAATGCGTCAGACCGCAAAGCCGTTTGAACTGCAAGGTTGGCAGTACAAGCTCACCAGCTGCTCCTAGGAAACCCTATACAGGATTGCTATGGGTCAGAATTGACTCGACAGCACTTATCAACAACAGTCCTTTCCTGAGGACTCATGCTGTGGCACTGTAGGATCAGCATTGGACTGCAAACCACAAGGGTGACAGTTCAAATCTATCTGCTGTTCCACAGAAATCCTATAGGGTTACTACCAGTTGGACCTGACTACACGGCACTAAACAAAAATAATAACCCTTCCCTGAAGAATTCTGAGCTATTTGATTTACAACCAAATCAAAATAGCAGTTTGGGCATCCTCTAGGGACTCAGTTAGTACTGCCTTTGTTCAGGACACGCTCAGGGTTGTAGGATGGATGGGGTAAGGTTTCCCAATGAAATTCTCATAAGACAGCCCTTGTTACTCTCAAAACGTGAGTACATTCTTTCCCTTGTTTTTTCGGAATCTGAAAATTGGTCCCATGCATCTCATAGTGAAAGTGGTCATAACTTACAATAACTGCTCTATCGGATAATACTAAGTTTTAATTAACGTTTATCTGAATACATGGAACTTTCCCAAATTCTAAGCTAGAACTGAAAACAAAGCTGAAATGATTTCCCCACAGACATTTCAGGTGAATATACACTGTGAATTGTGATTTTAACATTTCAAATACTTTCAAAACTTTTCCACTAATAGAAGGAAATATTCTACTTACAGATACACAAGATGATGAGAAAAAGGAGGTATGTGACCAGTTCACGTAGAACACTTTTCAGGTATTTCTCTCGGTTAGTATTATTTTCTTCCATGAGTCTTGTTCCCCAGAAACCTTTAAAATAATAATTGAAGGAAGAAAATATCACTGTTTCAAAAATCTCATAAATGACATATATGTATAACATATATACAGTGTGTTGTTGTTACATGCCATTGAGGCAGTTCCGACCCATAGTAACCCTGTATAGAGTTTCCGATGAGTGGCTGGTGATATTGAACCACCAACCTTGCAGTTCAAACCGACTTTGCAGTCCAGCACATGTTATACCAGGAGTCCAATATATATATATGTTGTTGTTGTTGTTAAGTGCTGTCAAGTCCATTCCAATCTATAGTGACCCTGTATAGGGTTTCCAAGGAGCAGCTGATGAGCTTGAACCACTGACCTTGCAGTTCAAACAGTTTTGCAGTCTGGTGCATTAACCCACAGCGCCACACCGGGACTCTAATATATATATATGCATGTATATATGTTTTTTATTGAGCACACTCTAAATGGAACCAAGAAATTGTCAACTAGTTGACATCAGGGTAATTTTTATTGGTTAACATACATATGTGGCTACTAACTGAAAGGTTAGGGATTCTAGTTCACACACACGGGTTCATCATGAGTCAAAACTGATATGACAGCAATTTTTTTTTTTTTTAACCATTTAAGAACACCATCAGCTCTTGTTGTTGTTGTTATGTGCCGTGGAGTTGGTTCCAACTCTTAATAACCCTGTACAGGGTTTCTGAGGCTGTAAATCTTTACAGGAGCAGGACGCCTCATCTTTCTCCCGTGGAATAGCTGGTAGTTTTCAACTGCTGTCTCTGAGGTTTGCAGCCCAATTTGTAACCACTACGCTACCAGAGCTCTACTGTCTCCTCAAATGTACAAAACACAAGTAAAGATCTGATCATTTTCTAAACTCCCAAATCCATTAGCAAATATCTTAGTAAAACTTTCAAAAGATCAGGAAATAAGGACAGCCTAAAAGACGAGACTAAACATATCAGTTCTTCTAACCACTTCACACTAACCCAAACCTATTGTTACCAAGTCAATTCAGACTCATAGCAACCCCATGTCGGGTTTCCAAGACTAAATTGTTACGGGAGCAGAAAGACTCATCTTTCTTATTAGTGCAGCTGGTGGCTATGAACCACAAACCTTGTGGTTAGCAGCCCAACACCTAACCCACAGCACAACCAGGGCTCCTCTGGGGAACAACTTGGTAGGTTAAACTCAAGGTTGGCAGTTTAAACCCACCAGCTGCTCTTATAGGAGACATTCTGCTCCCATAAAGATTTATAGCTTTTAACACCTTATGGTGGTGGTGTTAAGTGCTGTCCACTCGTTTTCGACTCACAGCAACCCTGTATAGAGTTTCTGAGGAGTGACTGGTAAATCTGAATCACTGACCTTGCAGTTCAAAAGATCTTGCTGGTCAGTGTTTTATCCCACAGAGCCATACCAGTGTTTCTCGAAAACCCTATACAGGGTTGCTATTAATTGGAATCGACTTAATGGCAGCATTTTTTGTTTTGTTTTTTAAATCTAGTCAAGTATATGGAGTCCTGGTGTGGCGCTGTGGGTTAATGTGCCAGACTGCAAAGCCGTTTGAACTGCAAGGCCAGCGGTTCAAGCTCACCAGCTGCTCTTCGGAAACCCTATGCAGTGTCACTATGGATTGGAACCGAATTGATGGCACTTAACAACAACTGTTAAGTATATGATGCCACTATACTGGAACAGTACCTTTTGTCTTACTCCAGAAAAAAAGTGCTGGCTTGGACACTGTTTTAATAAAACTTGTATGAAGCTTCGAATGCACTGGCATAAAAACTATTCTGTACCCGTCTCTGTCCTATCAAGAAAATGAATAACTTGCAATGTTCAGCCAAGCAGTAGACAGCTATATAAAGGGGGCAACAACACGAATGAGATATGCAAACCACGAATGGTCAACAATTCAAGATTGAAAGGCCAACATTCAGAAGGATTGGTTAGAGAAGGTGGGGATCACAGGAGGTAACTGCTGTTACATGGAAGAGATTGCAGTCACTGAAATGAAACAAAGTGTATGATCTGCAGAATGTAAAACAGATGATCTGCTCTGCAAAGCTTCACTCAATTCAGAATAAGAAGTTAAAAGAAAAGAGAAGAAAAAGGCACGAAATAACTTAGTGATTGACTGCATGCTTAGCAAAACAGATTTTTCAAAAGCCCATTAACACATAATCTTTAAATTAAAAGGAATGATTCATCCCACTTCTCTCTTTGAAGAAAAAGTAAAATCAGCAGCCATGTTCTGTGTTTTAGCAGATGGAAAAAGTGTTGGGCTGGCTAAGGGAAGATGACATAACCCTCCGTGAGTTTGCTGCAGAGAGCCAGTTACCGCGGGGCTTGGACTGAGCTAGCAGACAGACATGGTGGCTGTCCAAACCCCTGTTAATGAATAGAGAGAGAGAGTTAGTCACATTGCTGGTTACTTGGAAAAACCATAACATTTAAAAAAAAAAAAAAAGAAAGAAAGAAAGAAAAGCTACTCAAACCTTTGAATGAGCCATGCAGAAATCAACCTGGCATCTGTATACCATCCACACTTTCAATTCACATACCTTAATTGGTCAGTAATTTAAACTCACATTGCCACTTCATCCGCAAGCAGGCCACACAGAGAAAAGAGAAAAAGAGTCTATGAGGTTTTGTGTCAAAGAAATGATCTCATCATAAGCGTCTATGTATTTTTAAAGTTCTATAATAATGTATTAGTCCGACTCCTAAATTGGAGCATTCCCTTTCCTCTGCTTTTCCCCTCCCAAATTTTCCTTTAGGAAAATCAGCGTCTGAAGTCAAAGACACCGTGTTACACATCATAGGTTTCACCACACTGAAAGTAGAGCATAACTTATGACCATGTTTGTTGCTGCCAAGATCTGGTAGTTGTCAGGGAATTACTCACTCAGAAGAAATGCGACAAGCACAATGTTTGTTCGCTGAAATTCTATCATATTAAAGAGTTATTACAAATTTAGATGACATGGAAAATTACAACTCAGAATCAACACAGAGGCAGCCAAAGGGTAGGCTCAGTAGCTCTGGACACAACCACACCATTTATTTGGGTCTATTTCTTTTGGAGGCTAGATCTCATATCTACACAAAAGCAAAGACTGCTGGTCTCTTACCATCAGGAGACTGCTGTCCTACCTCAGGCGGTTCAGTGATTTTCACTCTTTCCCATAGTTTATAAACAATGATGCACTAAGGAATAGCCACGGTTCTTAATATTTACAAATGGCACTGCTTGACCTATAAGTAAAAGACAAACAAGCAAACCCCTCTTAACTTTTATTCAGCCTAAATCTGGTAATTTAATTCTCTCCTTCAGGGAAACACTTCAAATGAAAAGAAGTCCCTTTATTTGTATGTTTATATAATGCATTTTTAAATATATTTACATTTCTAAGTGACTCTATTACCTCATCAATTGCCTAATATTTAAGAATTTTCATTCAGCTTTCCTACTATGTCTGAAAACACTGGGACACAGTTACAGTCTGATGGGAGAAAAATGACTGCACTCACAAATACCTGTCTTGGTGCCAAAAGCTTCCCATGATTAGCACAGCTCATAGGGCAAAAATGGCCAAGGATGTGCAAAACATAGAGTAAGCCCTAACATAAACTATGAACATTAGTTCCTTATACTGTATCAATACCAGTTCATCAACTTTAATAAATGTACCACCCAAATGTAAATGCCAATAACATTAGACAAACTAATGCAAGAAGGACAGAAATTTATACGATAACTCTCTGTACACTAAAACAGCTCTTTAAAAAGTCTATCAAAAAAAGAATTAAGAAAGGAATCAGGATAGACCAGCATCTTCAGAATCACCGTTTGTCTTTTCCCTCAATTGTCTCAAATGTAGCAGGACTCCATACTCTAGGCACTTACATTCAGAGAGTAAATTGTCTCCAACTACTTTCCGTATTTAAGGTGGTTCTTAGCTAACTCCAGGAGTTCTTGGGTGGTGCACAAGGCTGGAGCTTGGAGTCTACGCAGACATGCCTTTTCTGAACAATCCAGCTACTGAAAACCCTATGTTTATGGCGCACAGTTCTACTCTGACATGTGTACAATCACTATGAATTAGAACTGACTCAATGGTAACTGGTGGGGATGGTAAGTTGTGCCATCATCCAAAGTCAGAGCACATCTCTAAATAGGACCTCTCTCTGTACAATGTTCCTTCTTAATATAAGGGAACTCTCACATGGGTAATCCAAGAGACAAATGACGTGCCCCAAATAAACAGTAGACTTTGAAATAAAATCAACATTTTTATAAACACTTTATCCAAATATTTTTAAAGAACAACTTTTTATTTAGAAAATATCATGTTTATACAAAGATAGAGAAAATTTGTATAAAGAACCCCCAAGGTACCTCTTACCCAGGTTCATCTAAACCTTCACTTATTCCTTCCCATTTACTTTGAAGCAAATCCCAGGTACCAAATCAGCTATACACTTTTCAGTTCAACCTGGACCTACAATTAAATAAGAGCAAAATTCCTCTATCAATGGCAGTAAGTGGTGGGTGGAAACATTTCATTATGCTTAAGAAGTCCTGGTGTGGCACTGTGGGCTAATGCGCCAGACTGCAAAGCCGTTTGAACTGCAAGCTCGGCGGTTTAAGCTCACTAGCTGCTCTTCAGAAACCCTATACAGGGTCGCTACGGGTCGGAATCGACTTAACAACAACAACAAGAAGGAAAAAATGGCCTGGCATTAAAACTCCTTATATTGTTACTAAGTGCCATGTCAGGTCGACTCATAGTGATCCTGGATAGGGTTTCTGAGGTTTTAAATCTTTATGGGACCAAACAGCCCCCTCTTTTTCTCACAGAATGGCTGGTGGGTGCAAACTTTTTTCCTTCGGGTTAGCAGTCCAGTGCTTAGCCTATAGCAGCAAAGCTAAAAAGACAGCTTTTACACTTGAATTAATGCAACTTCTAAGGCATAATTTTAGAATTTAGAAACAAGTCTGTCTTTCTTTCCCAGAAGGAACAGGTGTTAAAAGATACAAAGATGGTCTCTTTTCACAGCCTACTGTCTGAAGGTTCGGAGGCATCTGAGGCCACAAAACCTTCCTGTTTGGGTTAACGGAACCATGCTAGATATTTGGAGTTAAGCTAGGCCTTTCTCTTATTCCTCACACCCAGCTGGTTCCACAATTCTGATGGTTTCTCCCTCTTTAATTCAGGCTCATTCCATCCCAGTCCACACTACCTTGGTCAAAGCCCTCACCTCCCCTGTCCTAAACGACCCAGTCTCTTGGCAAACTATCAGTATCCACGCCTCACCCTATCTTCTATATTCCTACTAAAGACATTTTCAGATTGATATATGATCCTGATTCCTGCTAGAAGTGCCTTCTGACTCAATTGCCTACAGGGAAAAGTAGCAATTTCAGAGTTGAGTAAGCTACATGATGATCTTGCTTCTGTTACTTTTTTTTTTTTTTTTTCTTTCTTCAAATCATCACTCAGCCTAAAAAACTTTACTCAAGTTTCAACTGCCTCCTGGAAGTCTTTTTGATTCCCCAGACAAAGTCCATTCTCCCTTCTTTGAGCTTCTCTAGTACCTGGGACCTGGCATTGAAATTATTAAACAGCTTTCACCCCGAGCTCCTTAAGAATACAGACTTTGTAGGGGCTTCAAAAGGTTCATAGGAAAATGAAATGAAAAGATAATGGAAAATTTCCACGAACTTTTTGAAATCCCCTTGTATTATTTATCTCTTCATACCCTAGTAGCATCCCTGGGTGGTGCAGATAGTTAGCATATTCCTAATCAAAAGTCCGGAGGTTAAAGTCCATCCAGAAGCACCTTGGAAGAAAGGCATGGAAACCTAGTTATGAAAATTAACTATTGAAGTCCCTATGGAGCACAGTTGTATTCTAGCACACATGACATCACTTTACATCAGAATCAAGAACTTGACAGTAACTTGTTTGGTGTCCCCAGTAGTTAGCACAAAGGAGATTCAATGTTTGGTGACGGAATGGATTCTAACACTTCCACAATTTTACCACAAATCCTAAAGAGTAACAACTCCCCTCAAAAAAAATTCCCCATACAAATAAAAAAAAACACCTTATTTGTTTAAAATTCTAGTGCAAATAAAAAAAGAAAATGAAGAAGTGATGGAGTGAGACTCAAATTTAAAACAAAGGGAAAGGTGGGCTCTCTCACTTCCTGTATCAGTTATAGCTTTGGATGCACAGATGATTTTGGTATAATTTATCCTAAATGTCCTAGTACAAACTAAGAAAATGTGATACATTGTTAACACTCATTAAAGCTCAAAATGCCTAGATTTAAATTCTGATTCCAATTCTTTATACATATAATCTTAGACAAGTCACTTAACCTCTAGAAGCCTTAGTTACCTCATCAATGTTAATAACTGTTAATAACAGATTTTATCTCATAGGCTTGTTGTGAGGATTAAATGCACCTGTGTACATAGAGTGTCACTGGCACACAGTATGAAATAATTTATTCTTATTGAACTGAACAATCAAGAGCAGAGTTTTCCTACCTCCACACTATAGATCTTTTGGGTGGAGTAGTGTTTTATAGTGGGGGCCCATCCTGTGCATTGTAAAATGTTTAGTAGTGTCTCTGGCCTCTACCTGGTAGATGTTAGGAACAATCTGGCCACTGAAACAAACAAAAGTCTTGAGACACTGTTAAAAGTTCCCTGGGGTTAAAATCATCCTCCCTACCAAAACTAAGAATAGCTACTCCAGGATACTACAGTGCTGGTAATGAAGTAAGCTAAATTCTGAAGCTTCTAAAGACAGGTAAAATTAATCATTCATTGCATATTAATATCATGAATGCAACCAAGAATGATGGGTAGTATGTTTTGTTTCTCTGAGGGCCATCTCACACTACTTACAACTGCAAAGCACAGTTTTTTTTAAGTCTCAATAACTTCTTAAATAAGTGAATATTTGTCTGCTTAGATATCCAAAGAAGGCAGGATAAATGCCAGTATAATAAGATTATGCCAAAATAAAATAGTAAATGAGCATCAGAGGTCATCCATGCAGTCTGCAAACATTTATTGCTAGTCTCCTTTGCGCTAGGTACTAGGGACACCAAGCTAGTTGCCATGTTTTTTTTCAACTGTAAACAACATACCAATTTCAATGTCTCAAGGCCTGTGATTTTGGGAAATAGATCTGCTATTTAATTCGAGCCCTGGTACTACTATGGAGTCCTGATGGAAAGCTGTGGTATTAAGCACTGGACTGCAAGTTTGGTTTGAACCAGTTCAAACTCACCAGCCGTTCCTCAGAAACCTTATACAGGGACACTATGAGTCGGAACTGACTTGACGGCACTTAACAACAACACTAATTAGCAGAGATTTGCTAGCTGTCTACTACGAGAATTCCATTTCCTGCCTCCTGGACACATGGCTATGCCGCATTTTCTAGTCTCCGTCCCTGTTATGCTTGGTCATGTGACAAAAGATTTTTACAAACAAAATGTGAGTGGAAGTGATGCGTGCCATCTCTCTCTTTTTAAAAAATAGATGCCTACTTTGGGGCTCTGAGAGGTTAAGTAACTTGCTCACACCAGCACCAACAGTGAGTGGGAGAATTGCTATTAGTGTCTAGGCCTGAATGGGTCTTAATTGGGTTGCTATAACAACACCTGGGTAGTTTTGTGCACAAGATTTTAAAAACCGACATAAAAGGGAAAATTTCAAAAGAACTGCGAGTGGAAACTCCTAAAAGTGGAGATTAAAATAATTTGGACAGCAAGAACAAATGCAACTTTTCCAAGGATGCCTCTAACAAAACTTTGCAAAAGGATCCCATCTGCTCTTGGAAAATGTGTCCTCTTAATACGCACTAGGCATATTCTATAATTCCTCTCTTGCTTTTTGGAATAGTTGGGTGCCTGGAATTCTGACACATTCATCAGCTGGTATTTGGTGACTTCACCAGTTGGTGGAATTTCAAAGAACATTAACTTACTTAAAAACATACTTCCAAGTTTCTTCCTTAACAACCTAACCTTTTGTTTGCAATTATTTTAGAAAAATGCCTATAATTGGTGGCAGTGGTATGCTGTGGAGTCAGTTTTGACTCATAGTGACCCTGTACAGGGTTTCCGAGGTTGTAAATCTTTACAGGATCAGAAAGCCCCATCTTTCTCCCGTGGAACAGCTGGAAGTTTCAAACTGCTGACCTTGAGGTTAGCAGCCCAATTCATAAGCACTACACTACCAGAGCTCCTTAGCAATGGTCAAATAACTACTTTCATAGACAGTATTTTATTCTATTCGTAGTGACCTCAACTGTCCCCTCAACCACACACATCACCAAAACAACAGGACAACAAACACTCCTCCCACAACTTGGATAACATTGTACAGTTAACCCTTTCGTTAACCCTTTCCAAGGAGACGGGGGCAATAGCGTATCAAGACCAAAATGGAAGACCAAGGGATCTAGTACAGAATTCTCTGTTTGATTTAGTACATTAGGAAATGTACATTTGCAGCCACCATTAGTTATACTAAAGTAATAATTTTCTCTCCATTTCAAGAAAAAAAACAAAAAACACCAAAATCCCTTTCAGTCTAATACTGTTTCCATCTAACGTCAAGAAATAAAATATTCAGGAATATGAGGACTGAGGACGTATCTTAAAAGGGGGGGGCTAGTTAAAAAACTTTGCATCAACAAGTGGTGATGGTTATGTGCCTATGTGCCGTGGGGTCGGTTCCGACTCATAGTGACCCTCTACAGGGTTTCCGAGGCTGTAACTCCTTACGGGAGCAGAAAGCCTCATCTTTCTCCCACAGAACAGCTGGTAGCTTCGAATTGCTGACCTTGACGTTCGCAGCCCAACTCACAACCACTACGCTACTAGAGCTCCTGCACCAACAAGGGCGCAGTGGGATTCCGCACTGGGTACAGGGAAGTAGAGCATAATTAGCAAAGGTAGTGAAGAAGCTTCCAAGGAGGTCAGGACACAGAGGGGAATGCCAGTTGGAGTCCCCGAAAGCTGCCCTCGTCGGGCGATGGCTCCGCCGCTCGCCAACAGTGCTGGGTTTGTGTATCAGCCGCTGCGGGTTGTGCTCTTACCTCGCAGCCCACGAGCCAGCCTCTTGGCCCACGCCACTCGCTGCGGCTGCACGTCCATGGGGAGGTGGCGATGCAGCGGGTCCCCTCCGCCGTCTGGGCTGGGGCACGGCGGGCCCTGGTCCTCTCTTCGGCGCCGCCTCCCACTCGGGTGGCCAGAGCCGTGGTAGCCCCCCAATGCCCGGCTCCCGGCGCCCGCGGAGCTCACGGCCGAGGAAGCCACAGACCTCCGGCTGCCTGGGCGCCACTCCACATCCATCTCCACCACCATCCCGCCTTCTTCTCCTTCCACCTCCTCTTCCTCCTCATCTTCTTCATCTTCCTCGGCTTCGAAGCCAGGGTTGTCCCGGCTCCACGCCTGCCTCGAACACGATGAGAGCGGAGGAGAAGGGGAGGCCGAGGCTCCGGCCGGGGGATCCCGCGCGGCCGCCTGCCGGATGCGCTCCATCTCAATCTCCAGGCCCCTGTGTTCGCGGAGGCCGCCCGAAGCGCTGCCCGCCATCAGCCGGCCTGAACCCGCCGCCCGGGGCGCCGGCGGCCGCTTCGGGTCCCCGGGCTGCTGCGGCTGCACGCGGCTCGAGTTCACCATCGCGCTCTCACTGCAGTCCGGCGCGCCTTTGCGCTGCGCCGAGCTCGGCGCTGCTTGCTGCAGGAGCCATGTTCTTTTCTTCCCCCGGCCAGCCGCCTCCTGCTCCCCGCCCCCGACCGCCCCGCATTCCCGCGGCCCTCGCCCGCCCCCTCGGCCCGCCTCCCCTCAACTGGCCTGGCCTCGCCCAGCGGCCGCAGCGCACAGCTGGGGGAGGTGCGAGGAAGCCGCCCCCGCGCCCGCTTTAGGCTAGCTGCGTCCGGACCCACGTTCCAAGTAGAGTCGGAACCCGGGCGCTCGCGCTCGCATTCCATTAGGATGGAAGGGTTTGGGAAAGAAAATAGTAGCTGACCCTCCCGCCAGCTCGCTACAGGACCTGTCGGTGCCTGCCTGGCAGAGAATACGTGTGTTTGCGGTTTACAGCCTCGATGGACCGAAGTGAGAGAAAAATAAAGTCTTTTGTAGGATGATGTGAATTATCCAAATGGAAACGAAGTCTTTTCCTCTTTTGGAAACTACTACGCTGACTTCCTTTGCCTCCAAAGGCCCTTCTCTCCCTGATTGGGCTGCATATTGGATGTTTTGTTTTTCGATATTGGTTTGGTTCCTCTTTCCATATTTGCGGAATCGCAAGAATTGAGTTTTAGGCCTCTTAGATCTGTTAGTGCTCCCAGGCAGATTTCATCTTCCTCTTTGTCTCCTGCGATAAGTACTTGATTCTGACTAATAATATCCAAGGTCTGGAAGTTCATTTCCATTCAACAGAACACATGCAATGTTATGCTCTTCAGGTATCTCAAACGCAACTTGTCTAAACTAAATTTATTATCTTTCTCCTTTTCTTATAAACCAGTGTCCTGTAAAGCCCAGTTGAAAAGTCCGGATTTATGCGCTCCTCATATCCAAAGCTGCCCTGTCTGTTCTTCTATCCTACACCCCATCTTCACCAAATCTTGTTACTTTTGCCCCACACATGTCTCTTGATAAGACCTGTTTACTCATTACTGCTGTCAGTGGTTTAGTCCAGGACCTTTATTTATTTATTTATTTATTTTTCTTAATTCACATTAAGGAGCTCTGTTAGCATAGTGGTTACGAATCGGGCTGTGAACCGCAAAGTCAGCTGTTCGAAACTACCAGCTGTTCCGCGGGAGAAAGATGAGACTTTCTGCTCCCGTTAAGATTTACAGCCTCGGAAACCCTGTACAGGGTCTCTATGAGTCGGAAACCGACTCCACGGCACATAACCACCAACCACCAGCACCAATTCACATTTGAACAGAAGATTTCTGTCAATTCCACCTCCATTTTCTGTTATCCACATTTCTCTTTCCAGGATTATACTGGAAAACCAAGGCTGTTCATACCACACTGATGCTTAGAAATTTCTGTGGGCTTCCAACAGTGTACAAGATAACATTTAATCTCCATAGACAGATTTGTTAAAGCCCCATAATCTGTTCACAAACTATGCTTCCAGCATTGGCTACCATCTCTTACATTTTCCAAATTCCCTGGTACAGATTTATTTGTTGGTTTCTTATGTGCTGATAACACACTGCTCATTTTAAAGAAATTGTATCTAGCTACTGGCTGATCCTGGCACTCATCTATTTGTCATACTGTGGTGACTTGTGTGTTGCTGTGATGTAAGCTATGCCAATAGTATTTTAAATACCAGCAGGGTCATCCGTAGTGAACAGGTTGCAGCAGACTTTCCAGACAAACACAGACTAGGAATAATGAGAAGCAGACCACTTCTGAATGGTCCCAGAAGATGAGCCCCTCAGGTAGGAAGGCACTCAAAATTCTACTGGGGAAAAGGCCTCCTCAAAGTAAAGTTGACTTTCATGATCTGGATGGAGCAAAGTTTTCAGGACTTTCATTTTCTGACAGGGCACAACTCAACATGAGAGTAAACAGACACAAACATCCTTTAATAATAAGAACATGGAATGCAAAAGGTATGAATCTAGGAAAATTGGAAGTCTTTGAAAATGAAATGGAACGCATAATGATCAATATCCCAGGCATTAGTGAGTTGAAATGAACTGATGCTGGCCATTTTAAATCAATCATATGGTTCACTGATACCAGAGATGACACACTGAAGAGCAATTATAGTCAAAAAGATCATTTCAAGATTTATCTTGAGGTAGAATGAGGAGACTTGCTGTAGAATTTCCACATTGAGTAGTAAACAATAGAAAATCTGAAGCAATGCAGGCCAGAAAAGAAGAAAGTAAACCAGGTTTGAGAGCGATGCGTGCGACAGGCATGTTGGCAGTCCAGTCCTCTTACTCAGACTTCAACTCCTGTGACAGGATAAGCGGTCAGAACGCAGTGCCTGACATCCAGGGAGATTCTGAGGCTGTGAGCATGACAAAGCTGGCTGGAGACATGAGTGAGCTGGCTCTCAAGGGGGCAGAAGGACAGGTGGAGGCGAGTGCCCCAGACAAGGAGGCCTGAGAGCAATGATGATGGGACCATCTTGTCTTGAGTCCCACTTAGCCCCAGAAGGGTGGAAGAGAAGTGCTGTCCTCCCAGAAGGAGAGCCCTGGAACTAGCCTGGCTGCCTCATCTGAACCCTGTGTCCTGGGCCAGCCTGCCCACACCCCCGGGAAAGCCCTCTGCTCCTCCATGCCCAGGTATACTTGACACTGTCATGGCAGGGTGATATTTATTCAGCTGGACCTGAGACTTCAGCTGGGCCCTGCCCCCCCACTCTTCAGGAAGGCTCCTCTCACTGACTTTGGGAGGCCTGGCCAGGGACCTTGTCCCAACACCAACCCCTTCTCTCCAATTCCAACCTTGGGGGTCATGACCTTCTTATCCCTTTTATAAGGAAATACTTTAAAACTTTAAATCTTTTTTTTTTTTTTTTCCAGTAGAGAGGGAGGCAGCTAACAATCAGTTCAGTGGGTTTTTTGGGAACCATTTGGAAGCACCTAAGACTGTTGTGCAGTGTAGTGGTTACAAATCTGTGCAAGCCTTAAGGTCACAGTTGGAAACTACCAGCTGTTCCATGGGAGAAAGATGAGGCTTTCTGCTCTCCATAAAGATTTACAGCTTCAGAAACCCTGTACAGGGTCACTATGGATCAGAATCGACTCGACAGCACTTAACACAACAACAACAAAAGACCTGTTGACCTTCTGTGCAGCCTGAGGTTCCCTTGTGGAGTTCTGCAGATCCACTTTGATGGATGCATTTTGTGCTCAAAAGGATCTGACCAACTCCTTATCCTTTCTATCGAGAGAAAGTGACACCTTGTATCTGGGAAATAAATGTTGACGGTTTATGATTTAAAAAAGAGATTTATCTTGAAGTACGATGCTGTCTGTAATAGGATAATATCCATACAACCCTATAAGGGTCACCATGGGTCAGAACTGACTTGATGGTGCTTAACAACAACTGCAACAAGGAAGACCAGTTAATACCACTATTATTTAAATTTATGCACCAACCACTAATG